TAGCTAACTACAGCTAACTACAGCTAAATACAGCTTACTGTAGCTAACTGTAGCTAACTTCGGCTAACAACAGCTATATACAGCTAACTACCGCTAACTACAACTAACTACCGCTAACTACAGCTTACTGTAGCTAACTGTAGCCCTGTTAATGGGTCACCCGCTCAGCTAGGTGAGCTGTAGAGGCGCCCATATGTTATTTATTCTATTTTCTCTATCTATCTATCTATCTATCTATCTATCTATCTATCTATCTATCTATCTATCTATCTATCATCTGTTTTTCTACAATCTTGTGTAAAACGAGGTCAGAAAATAGATTTTAATCTTGAAAATGAAGGTTTTTTTGAGCTGGTCGTTTATGTTCTCAGCTGCCGTCACTGTTTTACGGTGTATAATACAGAACACTGACATGAACATGTTGTTTCCTGTCACTTGCACCTGAACAGGTAGTCATGGTTACTGCCACTGCAACACACTGAAGCAGTGACTAAACCAGTAACTGTGACTGGGTGCAGGGCGGCACCATGAAGCATTTCCTGCCGACTCAGGAAACTTCCTGTGCAGTCAGACATTTCCTCGGCCAATCAGGAGGCAGCAGCTTGGATGCAGGCTTGGACCCTGACCCTGACCTCCGACCTCGGCGAGGAAACACGGAGGTCACAGCTAACATGCTAACATGCTAACTGTAAGACAGACATGAAGAACACAGCTTCATCTGCTGCATATTACATAAACCAGACTGAACAGGATTTAACAGGATCTGTGTCTGTCTCACGGCCACTGTCGTCACGTTTTACTCTTTTTACTTGTTTCTTTGGTTTTATTTCCACTGAAATGCAATGAAACTTTCTGTGATTTATTTTTTCATCCAGGTGTTTAATAAACTGTGAAACTGCAGCAAAAACTCTCCTACAGAATAGTAAGAAAAATAACTTCATATCTGAGCTCAAAACGTCGTGAAAAATGAACATCTGCTTCATTGATCCTTCAAATCAGCTGTTTGCTGTTTTAATTTTAACAGTGAATCATTTTGTAAAATTTGGTGCCAATGAGCATCACAGTGTAATCTGATTATTATATTAATCTGAGCGCCAGGTGTGGACGAGATTCGCCCTGAGATGCTGAAGGCTCTGGACATTGTCAGACTGTCATGGCTGACACGTCTCTTCAATGTCGCGTGGGCATCGGGTACAGTGCCTGTGGAGTGGCAGACCGGATTGGTGGTCCTATTTTTAAAAAGGGGGACCAGAGAGTGTGTGCCAATTATCAAGGTATCACACTTCTCAGCCTCCCCGGGAAAGTTTACTCTAGGGTGCTGGAAAGGAGGCTTCGGCCGATTGTCGAACCTCGGATTCAGGAGGAGCAATGCGGATTCCTTCCTGGTCGTGGAACAGTGGACCAGTTCTTTACCCTTGCGGAGCTGCTGAGGGGGGCGTGGGAGTTCAACCTGCCAGTCCACATGTGCTTTGTGGATCTGGAGAAGGCCTATGACCGTGTCCCCTGAGGAACTCTGTGGGGGGTACTGAGGGAGTATGGGGTACTGGGCTCGCTGCTACGAGCCATACGGTCCCTGTACAACCAAAGTGCGAGCTGTGTCCGCATACTCTGCAGTAAGTCGGACACGTTCCCAGTGGGTGTTGGACTCCGCCAGGGCTGCCCCTTGTCCCCGACCCTGTTTGTGGTCTTCACGGACAGGATCTCAAGGCGCAGTCAGGGTGAGGAGGGTGTCCGGTTTGGGGACCTCAGGATTGCGTCTCTGCTTTTTGCAGACGACGTGGTACTGTTGGCTCCATCAGACCGTGACCTTCACATGCACTGGAGCAGTTTGCAGCCGAGTGTGAAGGGGATGCGGATCAGTACTTCCAAGTCCGAGGCCATGGTCTTCTGCCGGAGACCGGTGATTGCCACCTCCAGGTGGGGGGGAGTTGCTTCCTCAAGGGAGAGAGTTTAAGTATCTCGGGATCTTGTTCACAAGTGATGGAGTGTGAGGTGGACAGGCGGTCAGTGCGGCATCAGCAGTAATGCCGACGCGGTACCGGACCGTCGTGTTGAAGAGATTCTCGATTTACCAGTCCATCTATGTCCCAACCCTCACCTATGGTCATGAGCTTTGGGTCATGACCGAAAGAATGGGATCGTGGATTTAAGCAGCCCAAATGAGCTTCCTCCGCAGGGTGAGAGGCTCAGCCTTAGAGATAGGGTGAGGAGCTCAGACATCCGGAGGGAGCTCGGAGTAGAGCCGCTGCTCCTGCACGTCGAAAGGAGCCAGTTGAGGTGGTTTGGAAATCTGATTTGGATGCCTCTGGAGAGGCCTCCTCTGGAGGTCTTCCAAACACGTCCACCTGGGAGGAGACCCGGGGCAGACCCAGAACCCGCTGGAGGGATTATATCTTTCGGCTGGTCTGGGAACGCCTCGGGATCCCCCAGGAAGAGCTGGAAAGCATCGCCGGGGGAAGGGAAGTCTGGAATGACCTGCTCCGCCTACTGCCCCCATGACCCCAGATAAGCGGAAGGAAATAGATAGCTAGATAGATAGATAGATAGATGGATGGATGGATGGATAGATAGATAGATAGATGGATAGATAGATAGATAGATAGATAGATAGATAGATGGATGGATAGATAGATAGATGGATGGATGGATGGATGGATGGATGGATGGATGGATGGATGGATAGATAATATTTTTTTCTTCTATACATCACCTAAAATGAGATTTTTGGAGAATCAGTGTTCTGACAGGACTTTAAAATCTGCTCATCAGAGGCAGCATGTGTTTTTAAAACTCTCATGAATAAAGTGTGAAGCAGGTAAAGATTGTTTGTGGCTCAAAAGCTGCTGTTTTTTTCAGGTTCTTTGAGCAGCTGAATCTCTGGTATTTCCGACAGACACCGAGGACTCCTTCACCGACAAACCTCCAAACAATGGAAGAGAAGGAAGCGCTGCTCGCTGCTCTTTCCTCCCACAGACGCACTTCCTTCACTTTACTGCAGCCGAGTGAAGCTGCAGGACGCTGAAGACGCTTCGGAGCAACATGGACGCCTTCGTTCTGCTGGTTCTACTCCTCGGGTCCAGCTGTGAGTACCGAAGCTGATCAAACTCAAACTTCTGATCTCTGCTTTTATATTTAAACTCTCAGTTCAAAGCTACAAACTGCTTTTTGTCTGAGACTTCAGCTCACAATCAGCTGAAACTGAACTCAGGCATTAAAGAACAGTGGCTCTCTGGTGTCTCCAGCTGTTCTTCTCTCAGATGTTTTCACATCTCATTTTCATGTTTCTGTTGCTTTATGTCTTTTACAAGATGTACAAACTCACGTTTTGTTTTCCTGCAGCAACAGTCACATTAAACAAAGTGTATAATATTGATAAAACCTCATCAGTGTGTGTTAGTGACACCGACCTCCAGATCAACCCGACTGAACAAACGGGTCAATATAATTCAGCTTCTTACTGTTTCTCTGAACTTCTACTAAACTGAAACATCTTCCTGCACTACTTCTATCTGACGGCTTTATGGACTTTACAGATGGAGACTGTTTTGTTCTGCAGAAAAACATATGAAGAACTTATAAAGTATGATTTTTTGTCATTAATACATTTAAAATGAGTCACATTTCTCGGCTCTTTATCATAAATCCTAACTTCAGTAAAGCTGACTCGGTGCAGGACGTACCATGAGCTAGCCGACCTACCTGTTAACTCGTGCTTCCTACCAGCAGGTCCAGTTCAGACATCCGTGTTCCTGCGCCGCTCACATTCTGCTCACTTTACTCACTTGATATTGTTGTTAGAACCCAAATTTCTGTCAAACATTTAGGCTGAATTTAGACAATTTCATGTTTACAGACGTGAGGATTTTTTTTATTATTATTTTCACTCTAAAACAACAGAACATCCTGAGAGTCCACTTCCAGGTTCAAAACCTCCAGAAATAAAACTCCAACAGCCGTGAAATGTGGAGACTCAGACGGAACAGTTCCAACAGAACCACTGAACGGATCCATCAGGACACAGTTTCATTAATGATCCAGAAAGTTCCTGTCAGTGTCTGTCTATCTGTGGTCGGCTGTGGCTCAGCTGGTAGAGCGGGTCGGTCAACGATCAGAAGGTCGGCGGGTCAATTCCGCCCTGTAACCCGTGTCATGGTCGTTGCTGCCCCCTCCCAGGGCAGCTGTGGCTACAGTCGTAGCTACCACCACCAGAATGAATGTGTGTGAATGAATAATTGACAGTTGATTGTACGTGCTTTGAGTTACTCCTTGAGTAAGAAAAGCGCTCTATAAATCTATAAATCAATTATTACTATTATTATTATTATTGTCTATGGATGGATCCGTGGTTCTACTAGAACCCAGTCTCTGGTCACATTTCACCAACTGTTGAGGCTCTAACATCAGTAGAACCTGATGTGGTGAAGGTGGACCAGAACTGACAGTCTAAGAAACTGTGTGACGGCTCCGAGCTGCACACAGACGCACAGCAGCTCGTTCTCTTTCAGGAGCTCTGAGAGCAGGAAAGTCTTATATTGATAGTCAGAAGTTCACACCTGAATCCAACTGTTTCTCCTCAGCTGGTTTCATCGTCACGCCGACCACCCACATGTGTCTGATACCGCAGGATGACCTCATCATCCTGGGACGCTGTGATGTCACTGACCCCGCCCACCATTGGGCGTGGACAGATGCGGCCAGGTTGGTTCACACTCAGTCGTCCAAGTGTCTGTGGGCGGAGCCTGGCTCTCACCTCCAGCTAGAAGCCTGCAGGGTGGCGCCAGCGTGGAGCTGCTTCGGATTGGACGGAGCGCTGGGATTGGCTGAGACACATCTGTACCTGAACGTTCAGGGAGCTCAGGTGGTGCTGGGAGCTGACCTGCAGACCACAGGGTGGAGGCGGAGATACAAGGATGGAGGAGGGAACCTTCTGGTCACATCTTTATGTCCTGAGACAGGTGAGGGCAGAATCAAAACTCTGACCAACGAACAGCATCCAACATCTTCTGAAAATGTTCCACATGTTCCTCTGTGCAGCTGTTTCCAGGTGTTTAGACACCTGACAAGATATAAGGAGTCTCAATACACTGTAGCTCTCTGAACTCTGATCTGTTTCTGTCTCATGTTCCTTCACTGAAGTTCATGTTTCTACATCAAGTCCTGCAGCTCTGTGGAACCAGAACCACATGAAGGAGGAGAGAACTCAGAGACGTCTTCTGTCAGCAGGACTCAGAACCATGGAACCAGAAATATTTTGCACATTATTTATTTTATAAAAATGTAAATAAAGTGTCCACGGATGTTACACTGGAATGAATGGAGGCTCCACATAATGTGGACATTAAACTTAAACTTTAAATATGTTATATGACTTTGAATTTGATCTCCTTCCTGGTTCAGTTCAGGCTCAGCTGCTGGTTCCATCTGGAGCTTCTCTCCTGCCCTCATATCATTTTAATATCAGCTGCTCTCATCTCCAGATGGTTCTGGTGTCAGGCAGCAGAACCAGGAGGAACCAGTGGACCTCCTCCAGATGACACATTGAGCAGCATCACTTCACCTAAAACTGATTTTATGACGCAGTCTGACAAACTCACCAAACGCAGGAGTTCAGAACCACCATGAGAGTTCACTCAGATTTACTGTAAGATGATCCTCAGAGAGGAAGTCAGAGGACAGAAAGACCTGCTGTCACTCATTCATCTGTCCATCACAGAGTGTTCTTCCTGAAGGGGCGGGGCCAGCTCATTTAAAGCTGCAGACAGTGAAAGAGTTTAGAATGAAAACAGGATGATGGAGTCATGGAGGAACGAAACATCTCTGACATGAAACGGAACATGAGGCTGATCCAGACACTGATCCTCTGACGTGTCTGATGATAACATGATAAGATCTCAGCAACACATTACTTCTCTTTGGTTCACTGTCAGGATAACTTAACCTTCTGACTCTGCAGGATTCTATTGATGATCTCTTTTCTGTTTTCAGATACATCTCCAACCTCCACCAGCGTCTATTCATCCACCCACAAACCACCAGACACCTTCACAGAAACCATCAGCAGTCCAATCTTCACCTTCATCAACCACCCTTCACCTGAAAACACCCACAGAATCACAACTGAGAGAAACTCCAGGAGCTCCACCAAACCTCCAACCAGGAGCTCACACAGTACAGCTTCATATCCAGATGTTTCCTCAGAAACCACAGCTTTCCATCCAGATGTTTCCTCACACAGGACAACTTCCCATCCAGATGTTTCTTTACAGACCACAGCTTCTCATCCAGATGTTTCTTCAGAAACCACAGTTTCACATCCAAATGTTTCTTCA